GCTGGTGTCTTTTGGTCTCTCATAAACATGCAAGATTTCAGGTACATTTTGCTACTTCTTTCTTACACTTAGGTCACACTACACATACATGTACAAGCATATATATACATACATACCCCTTTGGGGTTTTTTTTTTTATTTTCTTTCTAGTTCTTATTTATTTCCTCTTATTTCCATGGGGAAATGGAACAGAATTCTTCCTCCGTAAGCCATGCATGTCGTAAGAGACGACTAAAGTGCCGGGAGCAAGGGGCTAGTAACCCCTTCTCCTGTATATATTACTAAATTTAAAAGGAGAAACTTTTGTTTTTCCTTTTGCGCCGCCCCACCTCAGTGGGATACGGCTGGTGCGTTGAAAGAAAGAAAATACACAGATGTATATTTCCCTATGGAACTCTTATACTGTTACACCTCCATCCCCTCCCATCACCACTACTATTGAACTCTTATACTGTTACACCTCCATCCCCTCCCATCACCACTACTATTGAACTCTTATACTGTTACACCTCCATCCCCTCCCATCACCACTAAATTGAAAATCTTTGTCCACATTTTTAAAAACAAAATTCTTTAAAAAATAGTCCAAAAGAAATACTGTAGGTATTTCAACCACTAAAGCAACTTTCCCAAGGCCTTTCCATTTTTGAATCCATGGTCATGCACAAAATTGACATTTTTCCCAATTTTTGGCTAATAAACCATAACCAACAATTGAAGCCAATCTAATAAAAAATAAAGATGGGGTGGGGAGGGGGCCAGGAAAAAATAATCTATATTAGCCACTTCTTGCCTATTTCACACTTACAAATCTTGTGTAATTTACTGCATGTTGTTGGCACCAAGAAACAGCCCTGAAAACCACCTTAGAAATGCCCCTTTAAATTTTTTGTTTTACCCAAATGCGGGTCAGAGGTTAGCCATTCATTTGCACTACATGGGGCAGGAATCTTATTGAGAGCCTGGTTACAAACTGGGCTGCGGGTACGTTTGACCCCCGAATCCTCGCCAGGTATACTGCACTCGCCCCACCCTATAGACCCATTCTATAACATCTAGGCCAAAATTTGTCATTTTCAGCAAATGTGAGGTGCTATTAAACAATGCTTATTTTGTACATCATGGACTCTGCTATTATGTACTGGTCCATAGAAGATAAAGTACACTACAGTTAGATCAAGTGGTGAAGGGGCTATAAACAATACTTATTGTACATGATGGACTCTGCTATTATGTTTCTGGTCTCTAGAAGATAAAGTACACTACAGTTAGATCAAGTGGTGAAGGTTGCTATAAACAATATTATTAGTACATGATTGGACCCCTGCTATTATGTACTGGTCTCTAGAAGATAAAGTACACTACAGTTTTGATCAAGTGCTAAACCTGTGGGAAAAGAATTTTATCCATGTAAGCAAGGAAGGGAAAATATCAGAGTGCAGTGGACTCTCGAATTTAGTAGTGCCTTTTCTGTATGCAAAATAGTTTTACATACAGAAAAGACTACTAAATTCGAGGGTCCATTGTACATGTATAATGGTAGCAGTACTGATGTATGGGTGTAAAACATTAGCTTGAAACCCTTATGAGGAGGCAGTGAAGTCGTGTTTAAGGGCAATGTGTGGTGTGAATATGATTCATAGAATTTAGAACATGAAGAAAAGTGGGTATGGGATAACAAAAGTATAATTCAAGAGGGATGAGTAGGGATTCTTGAGTATGGACTAAAATGGGATGACTAGGAGAATATATAAATATGGGGTAGAGGGTAGGATTCATCCCAAGAAGGAATGAAGAGAAGAGGTAAAGGGGATTTTATGTGCTAGAGACTTAAACATCTCAACAGGCTTGTGTGAGCACTTTAGACTGGAGGCAAGTGGTTTTTTTATGAAGGGATTGAGGGAATTCATTAGCTGATATCAAGTCCTGGAGATGGGAAGCATTCTAAAAGAGGGAGTGAAGATGTTGCAGTTCAGAGGCCCATCTACACTGTGATGTCAGCACACTTGCTAAACAGTGCTTGAATAAGAATGAATGTGTTTTCTCTATTTTTGGTTCACCCTACCTTGGGCAAAGGCTGGTATGTTAAAAAAAAAAAAGTTTCTTATATTACATTACAGTATTTTGAGAATTATTGCTGTTTGTGAGAAAGTAAAAGGGGACACCGATCTTCCAGTGTTGGCTATGTTTTTGTTTAATGCACTTATTTATTTATCTACTTATTTTATGCCAGTCCCACGTTACTCTAATAATTATTTTTTTTTTTCCTGTTTTTCTGTTTTACACTTGTAGTCATTTTGAATGTCTGAAGGATTACTAGATTATTTTATTCAAGGATTCTAATGATTAGTTTCCATGTGTGTACATTTCTTTAGCAGGTGTAAAATCACATTTTTAGCTTTAATTTCAAGATGTAGAAATAGCAAGTTATCAAAAGTTTTTCACTTAATTTTATCTACAAATTCTGGGACATTTGTTCAACAAATACAGTGGACCCTCGGCTAACGAACGCATCGCATAACGTTAAATCCACCTAACGAAGCATTCGAGTTTTAAAATTTTGTTGTAAGTAAAATTTGAACTAGTGATTTTGAAACATGTTTTTTAAGCTGGGGATTGGTTCCCCTGTGATTGTTTAACCCAGGGGGGAGTTTAATCAAATTGATTTTGTAATCTATAATTGTTGTAATGCTGTTTTTGAAATAAGCCCAGGGGGAAAATTTGAAAGCTTTATTTTTGAAAACTGTGAGTTGAAAAGGGGTTGGAACTATATTTTGAAATCAGGTGGGTGTTGTGCAAGTCAGCGGGGATTACGAAGGGGGGTGGGAGATGTTGTGGTGTTGTTAAGGGGAACAATAAAAGGGGTTTAAGCCACCAGGAACCAGTAAAGTCGGGCATCATTAAATGTCTAATTATTTCATTCGTCCTAATTTGTCAAAGGTTGGACCCATCTTGGTGTTGGTTTGTTTAATCAGTGGAGGGTTTAATAGGATAGAATTTGGTCGGATTTTGGTATGTTAAATTGTGAATTTTGGCCGAGGGAAATGGTTTTGGATTTTGATCGTAGTGGATTAACCAGTGTTTTTTAAGGCATGGTGGAAGCTGAAAATTCAACCCCAGTGTTTCATTGCCAGGCGATTGTTCTAAAAATGCCAAACAGGATCCTCTTTACTCTAGAGTAAGGCACTCCCAGGACCAAATCCCTATGAAGAAGGCTAGGTTTTTGTTTTGGGTTTGTAATGCTAGTGGGAAATGTTGTAAGGCTAGTGGGGATTGTTGTAAGGCTAGTGGGGATTGTTGTAATGTAGTGGGGATGTTGTAATGCTAGTGGGGATTGTTGTAATGCTAGTGGGGATTGTTTTTAATGCTAGTGGGATTGTTGTAATGCTAGTGGGTTTGTTGTAATGCTAGTGGGGATTGTTGTATGCTAGTGGGGATTGTTGTAAGCTAGGGGGGAATTGTTGTAAATGCTAGGGGGGATTGTTGTAATGCTAGTGGGGATTGTTGTAATGCTAGTGGGGATTGTTGTAATGCTAGTGGGATTGTTGTAATGCTAGTGGGGATTTTTTGTTAATGCTAGGGGGGATTGTTGTAATGCTAGTGGGGATTGTTGTAATGCTAGTGGGGATTGTTTGTAATGCTAGTGGGATTGTTGTAATGCTAGTGGGGATTGTTGAAATGCTAGTGGGGATTGTTGTAATGCTAGTGGGGATTGTTTAAATGCTAGTGGGGATTGTTGTAATGCTAGTGGGGATTGTTGTAAATGCTAGTGAGGATTGTTGTAATGCAAAGTGGGATTGTTGTAATGCTAGTGGGGATTGTTGTAATGCTAGTGGGGATTGTTGTAATGCTAGTGGGGATTGTTGTAATGCTAGTGGGGATTGTTGTATGCAAAGTGGGGATTGTTGTAATGCAGTGGGGATTTTTTGTAATGCTAGTGGGGATTGTTGTAATGCTAGTGGGGATTGTTGTAATGCTAGTGGGGATTGTTGTAATGCTAGTGGGGATTGTTGTAATGTAGTGGGATTGTTGTAATGCTAGTGGGGTTGTTGTAATGCTAGTGGGGATTGTTGTAATGCTAGTGGGATTGTTGTAAATGCTAGTGGGATTGTTGTAATGCTAGTGGGATTGTTGTAATGCTAGTGGGGATTGTTGTAATGCTAGTGGGGATTGTTGTAATGCTAGTGGGGATTGTTGTAATGAGTGGGGATTTTTTGTAATGCTAGTGGGGATTGTTGTAATGTTTAGTGGGGATTGTGTAATGTAGTGGGGATTGTTTTTAATGTAGTGGGGTTTGTTGTAATGCTAGTGGGGATTGTTGTAATGCTAGTGGGGATTGTTGTAATGCTAGTGGGGATTGTTGTAATGCTGGGTGGGAATGTTGTAATGCTAGTGGGATTGTTGTAATGCTAGTGGGGATTGTTGTAATGCTAGTGGGGGATTGTTGTAATGCTAGTGGGGGATTGTTGTATGCAGTGGGGATTGTTGTAATGCTAGTGGGGATTGTTGTAATGCTAGTGGGGATTGTTGTAATGCTAGTGGGGATTGTTGTAATGCTAGTGGGGATTGTTGTAATGCTAGTGGGGATTGCAAAGTGAAGCCTTTACTCATGTATCACTCTGAAAATCCCAGTGTGTTCAAGAGAAACTGTCTCATCACTCATCAGTACTCTTCAATAAAGGTAAGTGGCATTTTAACATTTATATAGTTGTGCATGTCTCATTGTTTTCTTTGTAGGGTAATGTATATTTTATGAAAAAAAAAATTATTGTTTTTGATACTTTTTGCTGTCTGGAAAGGATTAATTGGGTTTCCATTATTTCTTATGGGGAAAATTAACTCGGCTAATGATAATTTCATCTAACGGTGAGCTCTCAGGAACGGATTAATATCGTTAGCCGAGGGTCCACTGTATTTACATAAAAAAAAAGGCTATTGGCATACATTAAGAGGTAGGAGAATTTATTTTCAATGTCTAAAATGCATCTTTTTGATTTCAGGAGTACGTAAACTTGTCAATGCCTCATTTTGATACTCCACCTAGCAGTTGCGAGTCACCTCTTACATCAGATGCTCTTACTTCACACTAAGCTATTACGGCAGCAGTACTCACCACTGCTGCTCCCAGTATGACACCTCATACAGTGCCTTATACCAGTGCCACAACAACAAGACGTACTGTCTTATTGAAAGATTTGAACTTTGCCTAGGAGGCTGTAGCTTTAGTTGAAAAAAAAAAAAGTTGCCATATAGCTTAAAATGCTCTGAAAAAGTCTTTTGACAATTTGGTTTTTGACTTGTCTATGGCATAAATTCACTATTGAAAAGCAAACATGATAAGTAACATTTGAACAGAAGTGTTCAGAAAAAAGACAATTTAATATGTGCATTTATTTATTGTTTTACTCTTGTTGAGAAGTGCATTTATTTTTTCTATTAAAGAGAGTGCCTGCAGTTCAGTAAAGAAGCTGAACAAAAAGTCATAAACAGTGATGAGGTGCTATTAATCCTAGTTAGGACTGGATGGTGTATTGTGAAATGCACAAGACTATGTATGTGACCACCAGTCACTGCTCTGTTATGTACTTGTACATCACCGCTAACAAGTAATAATGCAGACCTTATGAATTGGATGAGGAAATTCCTAACCATTTTATTTTTTATCAGTGTTTGTGTTATCAATAAATTATGAATAATTATGTTGCTGCATAAGGTTCTTTACTTAAGTTGTCTGTCAGTACACATTATACAACCTCCTATTATTGTGGGTACAGTACTGCATTTTGAACAAAAAATATATCCAAATTATTTTTATTTTTTTATTATTATCACACTGGCCGATTCCCACCAAGGCAGGGTGGCCCGAAAAAGAAAAACTTTCACCATCATTCACTCCATCACTGTCTTGCCAGAAGGGTGCTTTACACTACAGTTTTTAAACTGCAACATTAACACCCCTCCTTCAGAGTGCAGGCACTGTACTTCCCATCTCCAGGACTCAAGTCCGGCCTGCCGGTTTCCCTGAACCCCTTCATAAATGTTACTTTGCTCACACTCCAACAGCACGTCAAGTATTAAAAACCATTTGTCTCCATTCACTCCTATCAAACACGCTCACGCTGCCTGCTGGGAAATCCAAGCCCCTCGCACAAAAAAACCTCCTTTACCCCCTCTCTTTCCCAAACCTTTCCTAGGCCGACCCCTACCCCGCCTTCCTTCCACTATAGACTGATACAAATCTTGAAGTCATTCTGTTTCGCTCCCCTTCTCTCTACATGTCCCCAACCCCCTCAACATCCTTCCTCAGCCCTCTGGACAACAGTTTGGTAATCCCGCACATCCTCCTAACTTCCAAACTACGAATTCTCTGCATTATATCACACCACACATGCCCTCAGACATGACATCTCCACTGCCTCCAGCCGTCTCCTCGCTGCAACATTCATCACCCATGCTTCACACCCATATAAGAGCGTTGGTAAAACTTTACTCTCATACATTCCCCTCTTTGCCTCCAAGGACAAAGTTCTTTGTCTCCACAGACTCCTAAGTGCACCATCACTCTTTTCCCCTCATCAATTCTATGATTCACCTCATCTTTCATAGACCCATCCGCTGACACGTCCACTCCCATATCCCGAATACAATTTACCTCCCCCATACTCTCTCCCTCCAATCTGATATTCAATCTTTCATCACCCAATCTTTTTGTTATCCTCATAACCTTACTCTTTCCTGTATTCACCTTTTAAATTTTTTTCTTTTTCACACCCTTCCAAAATTTATCCCCCAATCTCTGCAAAATTCTCTTCAGAATCTCCCAAGAGCACAGTGTCATCAGCAAAGAGCAGCTGTGACAAATCCCCCTTTGTGTGTGATTCTTTATCTTTTAACTCCACGCCTCTTGCCAGCCCCGCATTTACTTCCACAACCCCTCTATAAATATATTAAACACCCAGTGACACACACATCCCTTGTCCAAGGCCCTACTTTTTACTGGGGAAAAATTCCCTCTTTACACACTCTAACTTTAGCCCCAAATATCTCGTAAAAACTTTTTCACTGCTTTCAAGCAACCTACCTCCTACCCTAACTTGCAAATTCCACATGCCCCCTATCCACCCTGTCTAAAGCCTTTTCCAATCCATAAATGCCACAAAGACCTCTTTAGCCTTATCTGAATACTGTTCACTTATATGTTTCACTGTAAACACCTGGTCCACACACCCCCTACCTTTCCTAAAGCCTCCTTGTTCATCTGTTTTCCTATTCTCCGTCTTACTCTTAATTCTTTCAATAATAACTCTACCATACACTTTACCACTTTACTGAGCATTAAGTTGCAGAGATGGTCATGTTTGGAAATGACAAAAAGAATAAGCAATGTGAATAAGAATTATTCTTTATATAAGCCACAAAATGTGAAGGGTGCAACAGTTTCTCAGGTTTTTCAATTTACATTTATTATATAATTTAAAGATATATTCACCCATTTTTTGGAATGGAGGAAGATGAATAGGAAAGGATGATCTTTTAAGTGGCTTGTAATAAGGAATACCCAACTTTGCATTTAAATTTGTAAAGATCTCGGTTTGTAGTCCATAAATTTTCAGGGGTAAGACAGCATGAAAATGTCTATAGATGTACTACTAAAGATTTTTTTATTATAGTGAAAGTTAAGCAGTACTGCAGTGTAGTATATTTAATGTTGAAGGTGACCTTATGAAGGAGGTGTTTCATACACTGAGTTAATGAGCAAAAACAGCATGTATATTATACTGAATTGCCTTTATGTAGATAAGCTGTAGAAGTGAAGATGTGTGTACTAATAATAATGGCAAGTAAAATTAATAATTGGTATTGGATTACGGATAGGTGATGTAATACCATTGCAACAAATGCTATAGCAAATGTACAAAAATTATTCTGCTATTATGTACTTAATTTGAAAGAATTTTAAGTTTTTTCTTTTATACAATCCAAGTGTATTGAAATTATTTGTAAAGTCTACAATGGTGCTAATAGTATCTAGTAATACTGAAAGGCATCTGACCAGCTTGCGTTAGTTTTCTAGTATTCCAGGTTTTAAAAGTAGCTGGCAGTTTGTATCGTGTTACATTATATCGTAATTCTGTAGAGGTTATGTCCTTAAAATGTTTTATTTCTGCCTTATTTCCAGATGGATGTCTTCTAAAAAGCACCTATGTAGGTTTTTCTTTAATATGTTATTTGTGAATATATTGGAAGGTATAACCCACTGGTGGCTACTTTTGGAATTTTTTTTTTTCTTTTTGTTTGAATTTAATATTTTTAGATATTGTATCTCAAAAGATTCTCAGTTGCTCTTAGAACTAGTTTTCATCAGTGTTGTAGGGGTCTTCATTTTTGGGTGATTTTATAGGCCACTTAAAATTTCCTTTGTACCAATGTGCCATATAGTGTTAGTTGAATTTGGAGTCCCAAGAAGTTTGTGATTCAAGATTTTCAGCATTTTTAATATGGGTTTTATATTGATGCCTCAAGAATGCTTAACTAAATTTCTCTATCAGTATATTTGTAAATTAGCCTCTTATAATTTTTTGTAATGTTTGGGAACTTGGGTACTTCATGGTAGAAGTTTAATTGTTTCAGGCTAGACATTTGTAAGTATTGACAAAATATGTAAACATTGTTTAAAAACTTAGCTTCTCCTGTTTGTTAATTTCATTACCAATGTTTCAAGTTACAGTTTGTGGTTGGCATTTCCATAATAGTTGATGTACATCAGACTAAAGTGTACTGTACATCTTGTGGCACTTGTACCCTATTAGTGGCAGTTATAGCAAATTTTTTTCACAATGGAGAGGTTATTATTTGCTCAATATCTCAACAAAACCTGTTATTTGAATTACACCTTTAGGATATTATTATAAAGCACTAAACTGACAAGGGTCACCATTAAGATAGCCACACTGTCTTCTAATTCTTTGTTCCTTATGCTCTAACATTCAATTTGCATAAATTTCTGCCCAAACACTTTCACAGTCTCCTCACTGCAACATTAAAACTTCACATCCATACAAGTGTCACCACCACTGTACTCTGATACATTCCTGTTTATGCATCCAGTAATATATTTCTCCTACAAACTGTTCAGCACTTGTATATTTTTTTCTTTGTCTCTGTGATTTTTGTCCTTGTTTACATCTGTTGTTAACCTGTAGGAGTCATACAGCTCTTGGGGGAATGGAAGGCATTGTTTCAATCCAAGGAAGAGCAAGTCCCATTCCTTGGATCATGAGCCATACCTGGTGTCTTGAGAACCTTTGTTGAGGGGCCTGATATCTACAACTAACTTCATACTCTCTAACTCTGAAAATATGTTTTTGTATGTTATCTATTCTCTTGTATTTTTTAATAGCCAAGTTGAGTTGCTCCTCAGGCTTTCTTAACCTTAAACGGTTCAAACGTATATATACGTTTTGTAAACATTTGAAAGTATGTAAAAAAATGTACATTTTTTTTTTGTTATTGAAAATACGTAAAAAAAAACATAGATCTACTTTTGGAGCACTACGGATATGAACGTCGATCTATTTGGACCGTTTAAGGTTTAAAACTTGTTACTCTCTCCCAAATTTGCTTTGAGTCTTCTCCATTCTGTTTCACATTTTGCAGTCTGGTTCCTCTTTAACCTTTTTTCTCTCTCTCGCCTTTTCTACATTATAAAAGCCTTGTATGCTAACTTTTCCTCGCCCACTCAGGTTCACCTTCGTGATTACAAATTTCTGCTGCATGCACTAGTCTTAATCTAACCCATACCTCTGTCTTACCCACTGACTCCATTGTCTATTATGCTATCTACCTTTTACTCCCACTAAATAACTCACTTGTTGAGAAGTCTAGCAAACTGCTGTCACTGCAATGTATGTCATCTACTTATCTTTTTTTTTTTTTTCTAAACCCCCTTTCTGTATTTAATTCAATTTGAAGATCTGATATTTACCCTTGGCACTCCAAACTTTTTCCTACTACGTTTTTAGGTCCCTAAAAAATTATTTTTCCTCTTTTGGTTCAAAGTTTTGAAAGTCTCTCCCAAAATCTCCACATCTATTACATAAGGTGCATAAGATTTACTGTAAACCCATCTTTATTCTAATAAATTCTTGCTTGCATTTAAACCAAACCCCTTTGTTACCTCCAATTTTCCATAGTCTCATTTAATATCACTACTTACTTGGGCACCAGTTCTGACTACATCTTCTTTAAACCAAGTAACTCGTTGAAATTTTCAAAACCCCTTTTAGCTTTTCTTAATGGTAGGACATCCAGCTTTTCAATTCATGACTCAGCAGTTCATATTTTTCTTACCTGTACTATACTCAAACTCAAACATTTTCTTTTATTATTTTATTATCACACCCGGGCCTATTCCCACCAAGGCAGGGTGGCCCGAAAAAGGAAAAACTTTACCACATTCACTCCCATCAGCTGTCTTGCCAGAAGTGCTTTACACTACAGTTTATAACTGCAAACATTAACCACCCCCTCCTTCAGAGTGCAGGCCACTGTAACTTCCCACTCCAGGACTCAAGTGCCGGCGTCCGCCCGGTTCCTCCCTGATCCCTTCATAAATGTTACTGTGCTCACACTCCAACAGCACGTCAAGTATTTAAAACCATTTTCTCCATTCACTCCTATCAAACACGCTCCACCATGCTGCTGGAAGTCCAAGCCCCTCGCACCAATAACCTCCTTTAAAAAACCCCCTCCCTCCAACCTCCATCCCTTCCTAGGCCGAACCCCTACCCCGCCTTCCTTCCACTACAGACTGATACAACTCTTGAAGTCATGTGCTGTTCGCTCCATTCTCTCTACATGTCCCGAACCAACCTCAACACCTTCCTCAAGCCCTCTGGACAAACAGTTTTGGTAATCATCCCGCACCTCCTCCAAACTTCCAAACTAACGAATTCTCTGCATATATATTCACACCACACATTGCCCTGCAGACATGACATCTCCACTGGCCTCCAGCCTCTCCTCGCTGCAACATTCATCACCCACGCTTCACAACCCATATAAGAGCTTGGTAAAAACTACTATACTCTCATACATTCCCCTC